TACACCTGATCTTGCGATCTTCATAAGAAAATTTCCTTATTTGGTTTGTATCACCGGCGCAAATAAGTGTACGCCATATTTATATTAATTTAATTTCTGCTTGATTATCTAAAAATCAAAGTACAATACAGCCCTTACATTGTAGCGGTTAGACCTGATATCCATTGGATATAATAAATTCAGTGAATATCCATTGGATTTAATATGAAAAGGGGTAATCAATGGGTATCTCTACTTCCTGGATCCTGGAATATTTAAAAACCTTGTGAGGTAATCTGTATAATGATAGATCCTCCAAATTTATTTATTTTGATCTATTTAAGTTAAAACATCTACAAAAAACCAGTTTAAAAATTGCGCCTTATCCTAAAACATTTTTCACTGGGAAAAAGAATTTCTATCGAAATTTGTTGTTTTTCCTACATCGTTATCCCATCTCAAAATTTATTAATATAGTATAAATTAATTTAACCGCCACTCATCACATTGACTGACTTAATAATGATATATATTTTTTAATAGTTTGTACTAATCAAAGATAAGCTAGTGTAAAAACCATTGTGCAAGATCATTATAATTATATATCGAAAATTCATTAGGAAAAACTTCAAAAGCACATGAAACAAACATCGCATGAAGAGTTGAATTCTATCGAATGTCAAGGTCTATATCCAAAGTTACCGTTTTTGTAAACAATGCAATCCTCATCATGGGGATAATCAACAATGACAAATTTATACTAGTTTTTACTAAAATGGAATTTGCCAAACCAAAAAATAAAAGATTGCAGCTTGTACTACAGTTTAAGAATTGTCTAAAAATGGAATTTGTTTATTTTTGCAGCACGTCATTCTTAAAGACTTTCCTTATAAAATACCCTATTGTTTGACGCATTGTTTGTGTAATTGCGTAGTCGCCATAAGAAGATCCTGTGACAGATGTAATCCACGGATTCAGATATATTCTGCTAGTGTAATTATCAAAATCACTTAACCTTTAAATCTCACTGGTAGTGTTTAACACCATAGTTGTTATCTAAAAAACTGGTTAATGATCTTTTTCTAGTATTATTTTTAGCTTAACTTTAACCTCTAGCTTCTAATCTTATACTTCTAATCTTATTCTAACTTTTAACCTATTTACTATAAAAATATGTAGTGTTGAGCACCATTGGTGTGATTTAAAACTTTATTTAGTGATACGTATTAATGATATTAATGATATATTATTGCACACTATACGTAATTACTAAAAACATTATATTTTTAATCCAAAGTAGTATGGATTTACTAATTTCCCCAAATTCTTATTGGACACCTAAAAATCCTATTTCTGATTAGACGAAATGGATCACATCAGACTTTCGATCAGAGATAATTAAAAATTTTCAAGTACGATGTGTATAAAATGTATTATTGCTATTAGTATTTAAAATGTTGCAGTAAATCTTTTTTTTTACGTATCAGGATACAAAAGGTAAGTTTCATAAACAAAATTCCAAGCTATATACTAGATTTCGTTGCACCAGATCTTATAATTTGATTGGTAAGCAAGAAATGGCGTGTAATACTTTGTCCAATCAAAAAACGGCATTCGTATGGTCCAATCAGAACTTGGGAAGAAATTAGGGCTTTCACTCTATTTACATAAACTGACATATAAATCACATCGGGTATGAAAATGATTTACATTTCTAGGTTGCATCAGAGTACGTATAATCTTATACTGTGTGATGCGTAATAAAAAATTACAATCACATGATTTGTCACGAATTACGCATCACATTATTGTAATATTTAAATTTTTTGATTTTGTCCACCGAATCTTTTAGTCTTTTATAGACTTCTATTTGGCAGTACCAAAATGAACCACCATGGATGCACATGCTTCATTAATCTTATCTTTAACCTTATCTTTAGTTCTCACACACACTTCTCAATGAATCCATATCGGTAAAAAAAAAAAAAAAAATCCACCTGTATTTCGGCTAAGCCTTATTATCCTATTATTCTGATGTTATACCACTGGTTGGTGGGTCTGTTTATGAACCATCGAAAATCTCCTTGGAACAAATTTTAAAAATTTGTCTTATGTATTGATTTTATTCTTATTTGACTTTTGCTTAGTGTTTTTTTTTTTTCAGATAAAAAAAGTTAAAAGTTTCTTTATAGCTGATAGTTTAAAAAAAAAAGCCAAGGTATTGGATGAAATTAAATTTCTACGTACCCCAACTTTATCATTTAACAAATATAAGTAGACTTAATCTGATTGTTACACTGCTTTTGACTATGTTTACCCAATACCGTTACGGTGGATTTTGTAAACAAAGAACCAAGAATCTTTGTATAAAGTTAGGTGTAAAATTAATCTCCCCATTTAGTCATTGATTGATGATTTTTGCGCGCTCCCTTGAAATTCACGGTCTCTTCATTTTCCTTTATATAAGGAATTAACCATGGAATATCTTCATTATAATCTCGTATTACAAACAATAATGGATGAAGCGATTCGACGAAAATATTGTGGCCTTCTAATGTTTGATACACCCTCCTTTCCTTACAAATCTAATGGTAAAGTGAATTCATCGACACTAACCATTGATCATACAACATCGCTAGAGAATAGCAGCATAAGAACCCAAGACAATTTCGTTTTTACCTCCTTCTTGGAACCAATTCGTGTCAAACCGCAAACCCCTATAAAAAATAAACGGCCTATTATCTTGGATTCAGATTCGTCGCTATTAAATAACGAGGTCGAAAAGACGTCAAGTATAGTGCAGCCAACTTCTGAAGACAGGACTCCTCGTCCTCCAAATGCCTTCATTTTATATAGACGTTCTAAACAGCCCGAAGTAACTCGGGAGCATGGTAATATTTCTAACGCAAGAATATCAAAAATTCTTGCCAAGCTTTGGAAAGAGGAAGATGAAACTGTAAAACATTATTGGCAAAAAATGGCCGACAAAAAAAAAATGGAACATATGTTGGCTCATCCCGGATACGTCTATCGACCAGAAAAATCTGGCGAAAATAGGAAAAAAAAGA